AGTTTGTCCGGTGGTAATCCGTAACAAAGCTGTGTACCAGACTACAGACCTCACGTACACCACACACTTCCAGCCCCCAATTTCCAACTTCCAACTTCCACCGCTACACTCACAATGCCGCCCCCCCACCTCCCCTCCACCTCCCACCACCGCCACCACCACAACAACCCCACCATCATCCTCACCCCCTCCGAACTTGTCGAAATCCGCGCCGCCCAACGCACCTTTGAAGGCGCCTACATGCGCACCGCCATCGGCCAGTTCAGCTTCGCACTCATCGTGCTCAAGATCTTTACCTCCGAGTTTTATAGCATCGGGGCGTTGTTTGCCGTGTACGGGGCTGGCATCATGGGCGTGGGCGCGCTGAGACGGAGTGAAGGTATGTATAATTATACATGTATGCTTGTATTTGTTCGTGGAAGCAGTGCTTGGATGATAAGAGGCCATTTTTTTAATAAAAAATCCAATAAAAAAGTATGCGGATGCAGTGCAACGGTAAGGCTAACATGTACCCCTTATACAGGAAATAAGCAGTTCTTCTCCGAAGTAGGCGAAGACGGACTACGACGGAAAAAATTCCGTACGAGTGGGAATGTGGTGTCGGTTTTGACGGCGTTGAGTGTCTCGGCGTATGCTTGTCTGTTGGTGCTTACCTTGCGCTTGGACTCGTGATGCGTATGGATGAGGTGGGTGAGGTGGTGATTGGAGACTGTAGGTATGCAAGTGCGGTGTTTTGGAGTTCTCATATACCCTTTTCTTGCCATTCGATCTGAGTATCGGATGTAACCTTCAAATTGCAAAGCGTATTTTTATCAGCCGTAATTCTGTTTTTAATGATTATATTCAGTTTACACGCTTTGCCTGTAACGCCTTGTTTGTAGAGATCCAGGAATTGGCTGTCAAGGATGGTGGATTCAACGATTACTTCATTTCTGGAACATGTATATCTGCAAGAAGTATAAATATGACAAGTGTACAAATTTCAACCTTTGTTTAAAAGAGAACGCTGCAACAAGAGTTTAGCTTCGTTCATTCTGTGGCATCGTGGGTACACAAGATTATTCCCGCAGATTCATCATTACAAATTCAATACTTCCAAAATGCAAAATAACGTAGCATATCACAAATTTCCCTACTAAATAATACATTTTATAGCATTACAACTTCACGATTATGAATACAGACATTATGTTGAGTGTGGGCTAGCTACGATAATATGCTGTGTAAATGTAGAAATTAGAGAGTTTATACAACAACCATCTCCTTCCTAAGCTTAATAAAACTACATATATCAGTTACTACCGGTAGTGGGATACAGTAAATGAAAGTAGTCAGAAGAGATGATATTAGAAAAGCTTGTGTGATCCTACAGCGTGAATACTTTACTAGGTAGCCGGCAAAATGTGCTGCAAGGTACAGCCCTTTTATTTGATCATGTTGGCATTATAAAACACGACATGTATGTGATGCTCCGACTCCAATAGGCAAGCCAGCCGGCTGGGACCTTCTTTCTTAGCACACGGCACAGTAGTGATGCTCACAGGGGCATACTTCGCGGTTGAATGTCCCGCCTGAGTCCCCGCATTCTCTACCGTACTGAATTAATGCGCTGTAATCATATTCGTGGAAATACATGAGCGCCAAAGAGCCCAGCCCAAGGCCGAAGCAGCTTGATATTGCTGAGAACGCTTCAGCCTCAGATCAAAGGCGAAAGAAGAGTGCGGCATGTGGATATTAGCCTGTATCACCGTCCTTTGCCTGCGTGTGTCTAGTGTATTTGTTAGTAGTCAGCGCTACGGTCTTGAACAGCATGGCGCATTCAATTCGCTGTCCTTGCGCTGATTTCTCTGGCCGAGCGATGCTATGTCCGATTGATGAACGACCTGAACGGTGGTGTTGAGGGTCTCGTTCATAGTGACTGCTATCTAGAAGCGCATTACAAGGTCCCGCTAAGTGAGATCCAGATGCTTGACAAAGAGCTTAATTTACCAGCTATATCGTTTGCTCCCTAGACTAGCTGCATCCTGGTATGGTGCCCTGAATAAGTAAGCCCTTCTAGTCTACATGCACTTGCCATTTGAAGTAACGCTTAGTAGTACAGGCTCGTGCAGAGACGCTTCGAAGTAGATCTGAGATAACGGACCCCTTGCTACGATCTTCCCCAGAGGTTCACGAGTTTGTTCGGCCAGATCTTGCACGAGACAGCTAACTGCGTCACCCCTTGGGAAGTGCTAATTGTCCTCGCCCATACTACTAATTTAGGTATAGTGCCAGGGGTTTCGGCTGCCTAACAAGATCGTGCTTAAAGCCATGTATTTTAAGCTTGAAATGATATAAAATACAAATGTAACATAGCAAGTACATAGGAGGAAGGTGTTTCAAGGGTATTAGTGTAGTAACGTTAGGGTGTAGTACGGTTAAACGTGTAGTTAGATGAGGGATATAGAATGTATATAAAACGGCTCCCCCTTTTATCTATGGAGCGTAATATTTAGTAAAATATGATAAGCACTACCCGACACTACTAAGTTGCTAAGTCGATATCTATACCAAAACAGGCAGGGTGAGGGCGATAAGTCTATTGTGGCAAGGACAATTAGCAACTCTCTCACCTCTGGCCACTGGGGTTAGCGCTACGACACCGTATTATGTATGCACCTCATAGATTTACGTAACCTACCCAAGACTCTACTTTTCCAAACAGGAGTGCTTGAAATAAGGTACCTTATGGTTTAGTTGAACAATGGCTAACTAGAACACGTGCACCAAGTGACTTCAACGGCCACCAGCATAATACCAACACAAATCATACAATTGAGAATCAAGTGGAACCCCTGTACCACAGAAGTACGTAAGGTAGCGTGACATAGCTTGTGTAAGAACCCACGTATTCAAGGAGTGTTTGCGAGCATATGGGCCTGTAAAGCGAACCTAGATGAACAGTTGCTTACAATCGTCGATCAATACTTATCAGTACAAGTTACAACATGCAAAGCAAAGCCCAAGTACAGCATAATCGCCTGGGCCTTTGGAGCTAATAGGGACGGACACTTGCTTTGAAGTGACCTTTCTTAGTGCAAGGCGCCGAGCGAAGTTTTCAGATACACCATACAAGCACCGCAAATACACCTCACTGAGTACACGAATGCAGTGTTCAAGGAAATATCACCAGAAAAGGTCCTACTGACCGAAATCAATGTAGAGGATGCGGCGATAGTGCCTTGTTGCTCGGCATCAGTTCGAAGAGACTCATCGTAAGATACAGGTATAAAAATCAGAGACGACACCTTCTCTGTTCAAATCATCCAGCAACTCTTCCTACTAATCTCAAGTGCTTTCATCTCTTGCAATTTTACTCTTCCACGTCATTTCTCAAATCTTAACAGATTTTTTCACCTGTTCCAACCAATACTCAATATGAAGGCCAGCCATATCTCCCTCATCCTCCTCTCTGCCCAAGGGTTGTCAGCAGCCGCGATCGACCCACGAGCTGCAGTGGTACGCAACCCAGGATTCATTCCAAAATTTTCACTCAGTGCTGACTCGATGAGAATTGCAGAACGCAGAACTTGTGGCCCGGGGACTAGTCGAAAATCTTTCTCTCGACGTCTCCCATCTTTTGACTCGAAGTGGGGGTACAGATTCTTTGGCGGAGTTTCGTGCACCCAAAGCCCCAGCACCAACAAGGGAACTACTTTACTTACATGCTCCGACATCCCTTAGGTATGTATGAAATTGAACAAGGTAGTAGTCGTCATACTATTTTGAAATGAGTTTGTCAAGATCCCCTACACAAGCATGTCCGGGAGAGGGAGGGCATCAAATTTGAGATTCGCTTTTCTTCAGCCCATAGTTTATGTACAATTGTGACATTTCAACAATGCCTTTTAGTAATCTTTTGCCCAAAGGTATAAAGTACAATAGTATTTTCATTGCCAAGACAGCAGCCTGATCGGATGCCGTGACTTTTATCTAGAAGAGACGGGAGAACAAGAGAAATCCAGCAAACAAAAAAAAAGCCTCCATGATGCCAGCCCACAGAAAACCACCAGTATAAACGAATATCAAAACTCCCACAAATTCATCGTCGTCCCAAAGCTTGACATTTGCAAGAATCAGATATTCAGACAAAGCACTTGGACCTGGCTGTTGTCCTGTTTCTCTATTATCTTATCCCAGTATCCGAAAAAAGGCCCCATCCTCGCTCCAGAAACAACCTTGGCGCGTCACCATCAAAAGGCGTGATTGAATACCGGACCCATGACTACGCAAATTCAAAGCGTTCATTACAGTGCGACAATTCGCGGAAGCAATGAGGGCACAGGTTGAGACCCTGTGAGGATAGGGCTGCAGATGCGGCCTTGAGCACTTCGTGTGTGGCTTTGGGTGCCATGCGTGCAGAAGGTGTTGGGGCCGATGATGGGCCTGCGGGCGTGGAGTTGTTGGAGTCTGTGAAATGATTAGACTTGGGTCAGATGATTTTGAACATGCAAAGTATGGTAGAACCTACCTGGCATTTTGATATCAGGAACGCGGTAGAAATTGTTCAGTGTTATACTCTTGGATAATTGATAGTCTTGGACAAGAGGTCTTTGAAATGCAAATCTCGTAGGTATGTGATGTAGCAAGTTTTTTTTAACGTGGTCTTGTTCGCCATGATACATACCATGGTATATATATATGTATATGCTCATACCTTTTATTATTAGCCCCAGTACCACCCCATGCTGGGGAGAAGAAAGTCATATGCAAATTCGTTCAGACTATTGAAATTGCAAAAATGAAGGCGAAAGAGCGGCGTTCGTATGTGACTCCGCGCCTACGTCTTTAGCTCAGGCTACTGGAGCGTGAAAACGTTGAAGTAAAGTCAGCCGATGCGCGGCCCCACGTGTAGGCACGAGCATGATGTGAGATTCTCAAA